TGTAAGGCAATGGGTTTGATCCTCAGCACCACATACAAAAATAAATAAAACAAGGGAATGCTGCCTTTCTACGACTACACACACACACACACACAAAAAAAAAAAAAAAAAAAAAACCTAGAAAAGCCAGACACGGATACAGAAGGCATCTCTCCAAAGGCATCAGAAAGCTGCAGAAGCAATAAAGACTGACAGGGTTATGATTCAAAGAGGGAAGCCCACGGAGAGAAGAGCCGGCCATCTGCAGCCAGCGTTTGCCAAGTTTCTGTTCATGCTGGTTTAATGACCAACCAGAGATCAAGGGGCGTCTGATCATGAGAGAGCGTAGACCTGAGGGCTGGCCTTCCCTTCAAGTCTTGACAAGTTGGGAGGCAGAGAGGGTGTTCAAGAGCTCAGTGAAAGCCGAGTCGTGCTGGTCTCAGTGCTGAGGAGGGAGGGCTCCCGTGTTCCCAGCAAGCATGTGGCTTACTGTCCTGAGGACTGGGCCCTGGAAACAGGAGCCAACACAGCAGACGGCGAGCCAGCCCCCCCACTTGGTGCCACTGAGGTCGGGCTTGCCACGCTTTCCCTTAGGAGCCAGAGAATAAGGATTTTAGCAGTAGTGGCCTCTGTCCACTGAACTCTGCTGTTGTGGGGCAAGAGCAGCATGGCCAGCGTGTGGACAGTGAAGCTCCGCTTCCAGGGCAGGCTGCTGGCCTGCAGCTGACTCTCCATCTGCAGTTCTGACACCCAGCATTCAGGGACCACAGTGCAGGAACCAGGAGAGAAGGCAGGATGGGGACAGACCGGAGGCGGCAGACAAGAGCTTGGAAATCCCTTTAATCATCGTGTTTTGTTCAAATAGAGGAAACAGTGGAGAAAGTAGATTAATGGTAGAGAGTCTCATCAAAGAATCTGAATCTGCATAGCACAGACATTTAAGAATCTCTGCAAACCCTGAGCTTCCTGCTGTGCAGATCCGAGCACCGGCAGGGAGAGAGCAGTTCATTCCGGCTGTCAGGCCAAGTCGCAACTATCCTGCTCACAAGCACTTAGGAGGTGAAGCTGCTGTTGTGACCAAAAGTGGCCAGAAGCCATGTAATGCCTAACAGTGCTGGGAGGCCCTGGGGCCTCTGGAGAAAGAACCCAGCCTTGAGACTGTCTGCGAAGGCCACTCAGCCTCTGCCAGCCTGCTTTGTCCCATGTGCTCTTTGGTGTCACCCAGCAGGCTCTGCCTCCTCCACTGTGCCCCCTTGGAAAGAAGTTGGAGACAACACAAGGCCACCTTCACTGCCATGCCCAGGAGCAGAGGTAAAGGAGGAAAAACAAAGCAGAGTAAGAAGGAGGACGAGTTTGAAAACAGCTGCTGTTGGTCGAGGCTGGCACCTCATGCCCAGGGCATCCAGGCTGGGAAACGGACGTCTATGTCATACGGAGGTTAAATGACATCAGAGGGAAACTGAGAAAAGGGTTTGAAGAAATGCCCCAGACCCACTGGTTGGTTTCCAAGACCACCAGGACAATGAGGCTGATGGCAGTCTGAAGCTGGACGGCTGAGGGCTTGTGAGCCCGGAGCTGGAGTCAGTGGAACATGCATTTGTTCCTGGAGATGAGGACGGAACTCACTTGATAACACTGGAGATGATGATGAAGACCCTGATCTAAACTGAACTCAACACTTCACACTTCAAGTTTTCTGAACACTGTCCTGCAATTTGAATTTTGGCCATAACCCTCAAAGAAGATTAAATCTTCATCAGCATGATTGTAATTTGTTAAGGTCTAAGACATTCGTTTCCTTAAAAACTGACAATGCTGAACTTTCTTAAGTGAAATGCTAAGCCACTTTGTTCTATTGATGTAATGGAGCTTATGGATTGAAGAGCACATCTATTTAAAAAAAGAGAAAAAAAATAAGGCCTTGCCACTGTCTCTTCCAGGACACCGAGGCTTGCGATGGCAAGTGTGTTCCCATTGTGGAGCCCTGCTCTTCCTGAGGAAGCATGGTGGTTCTTTGGAGAATCTCTGATTATTATTTGGATTGACAAGGTATCAAGGTATCCCACACAGCCCTGGGGAAGGGGAGGCAGGAGCTGTGGGTCCTGAGTCACTTCTCTTGCCCAGGAGCTCAGCGAGGGGGCCTGTGAGCAGGCACTGGGCGGGGGCTGTGCTGGCTGTGTGAGAATGCAGGTCTTTGTCCTTGGAGCCATGATGGCCACCGCAGGGCTGCAGCAGGAGCCATGGGGTCAGAGTTGTACCTTGAAACCTCCCTGGTGAGCCAGGCACAGGGTCACACACCTGCAAACCCAGCGGTTTGGGAGGCTGAAGCAGGAGGATTGCAGTTCAGCAAAAGCAAGGCATGAAGCAACTCAGTGAGACCCTGTCTCGAAATATAATACAAAATAGGGCTGGGGTGTGGCTCAATGGTGTGGTGGAGTGTCCCCGAGTTCAAGCTCCGTTATGGGGGGGGGGACATCAATTCACTGGCATGGAGGCTAGTAAGGATGAGCCAGGGGGATCAGGAAATCAGGTACGAGATCACTTCCTTATTCCAGGGTGGCAGATACAGCAAGAGTGGGACAGACTGGAGATTTAGGGGATCAAAGCTGGCAAGATGTTGGGTAGATGTTCTGGGCTAGAGGTTAGTAGAGGAAGGCGGAGGAAGAGGAAACAGGAGGAGGGGCCCCCAGCTCCCGAGCTCATTAACTGGAAATGCAGCAGGACAGTAACCCAAGTGGAGAACTGGAAGAGGCCTGGCTGGGAACTGTCTGGGGGACAGATGGAGCCATAGCTGGGGCTCGGCTGAGAGGGCAGGGTAGGAAGTGCAGAGGTGAAAGCCATCCTGGTCTGCCCAGGGGAGTCAGGGTGAGGCTGCACCCATAGACCCCCAACCCAGCCCCATGATCTGGGTCCCTGAAGGGACAGGGAAGAGCCAGCCCCAGAACCACCTCCTGGTATCTGCATTGCTGCACCATGTCCCCTCAGGCTGTTCTTCCCTTAAGCCTGTTTCCTGGCATGAAAGTGGGGTCACCAAACAGCCTGAGGAGCGGTTGAGTAGCCTTGGCTCAGCACCAAGAATGTACAGTGCACTCTGGGTGCACTCATAGTGGGTGTGAAGTGGAATCTGTGGTTTTGAGTCAAATGTCCCCGATGACACACCTGAGCATCCTCCCTGGTGTGTCCTGTCTTCTTAAAGGAGGAAGAATCCTCCCTAGAATTCCAGTATCTTCATTCCAGTGCTCACTTTGGGAAGGGCCTGGAAGATGCCTCAGTGGCCACCCAGCTCACACCCGGCCTGCTTTTGAGGGGTTCGGACCCAAACCTCAGCTCCCCCACTGAGCTGCATCTCCAGCCATACATGCCCTCTGGGTCCCTGGAGGGACCCAGCCTGCTCCTGGGGACCTGGAAAGGTGGCAGGTCTGGGCTTAGCATTTCACTTAAGATAGTTCAGCATTATCAGTTTTTAAGGAAACAAATGCCTTCGAGCTGGGAATGCTGTCCCGGCTCTCGTGGGTGCCTTCCTGCACTTGTCCTGAGCATTAACTGGCTCTAGGACTCTCCATGGGGCCGATATCTCTGGGTGGAGCAGGTGAGACACGTGAGCACAGAGCTAACAGAGAGGGGAAGGAGGCCACAGGAGTTCTGACTCTTCAAAAACACCAGCCACACATCCCTTCCTAGCCTGCTCCTGGAGACCTGGAAATATGGCAGGTCAGGGAGCAGTCAGGGGCTCAGCAGGGCAGCACAGTGGTCAGAGCACCCTTGCCATGGGAGACTCCTCAGTCTGGGCTTGATGGGGGAGGCTGCAGAGGAGGCAGCAGGGCCAAAGAGCACCCTTGCCCGTTCCTCTGCTGCTGCTGGGCCTTGGTCACAGGTAGAGGAGTGGTGTGGTGTGGTGTGGTGACAGCAGCAACAACAGGGTCAGCGATGGCTGTGCCGGGGAGCCACAATGGACCCCATCTGAAAGAGGCTGGTCCTCTGGCCAGGATGGGGGAGGCTGCAGAGGAGGCAGCAGGGCCAAAG